CCAGGATAGTCTCGATCTCCTGACCTCGTGATCCACCCGCCTCGGCCTCCCAAAGTGCTGGGATTACAGGCTTGAGCCACCGCGCCTGGCCTATTCTAGATATTAAGGACACAGATGTTGACAAAACAGACATAAGGCATCTACCTTCATGGAACTTACATCCCTTTTTTTTTTAAATGTTCAATTAATTTAGGGAATTTCTTGAAAGCATTGAGTTAGAAGACACTTTTCTACTTCATAACTAAAAATCATTTACTAGGAATAATTTTTTTTTTTTTTTTTCGAGATAGGGTCTCATACTGGCACCCAGACCAAAGGTAGTGGTGAGATCATGGCTCTCAGCAGCCTTGATCTCCTGGGCTCTCAAACTATCCTCCTACCTCACCCTCCCACCACATCCAGTTTTTTTATTTTTTATTTTTTTATTTTTTGAGACGGAGTCTGGCTCTGTCGCCCAGGCTGGAGTGCAGTGGCACGATCTCAGCTCACTGCAAGCTCCGCCTCCCGCATTCACGCCATTCTCCTGCCTCAGCCTCCCGAGCAGCTGGGACTACAGGCGCCCGCCACCACGCCTGGCTAATTTTTTGTATTTTAGTAGAGACGGGGTTTCACCGTGTTAGCCAGGATGGTCTCAATTTCCTGACCTCGTGATCCACTGGCCTCAGCCTCCCAAAGTGCTGGGATTACAGGCGTGAGCCACCGCGCCTGGCTTTTTGTTTTGTTTTGTTTTTTTGTTTTGTTTTTGTAGAAATGGGGTCTTGCTGTGTTTCCCAGGCTGGTCTCCAACTGGTGGGCTCAAGCCATCCTCCCGCCTCGGCCTCCCAAAGTGTTGGGATTACAGGTGTGAGCCACCATGTCCAGCCCTAGAAATAATTTTTTTCCTTAACCAACAGATCAAGAGCAAGAGCTCTGATCTCACTCTTGAACTGATCCTTTATTAATTAAAAAAAAAAAAAAATAGCAGCTGGATGTGGTGGCTAGAGCCTATAATCCCAGATATTCTGGAGGCTGAGGCAGGAAGATCGCTTGAGCCTAGGAGTTTGAGGCTGCAGTGAGCTATGACTGTGCCACTGCATTCCAGCCTGGGTGACAGAGTGAGACCCCATCTGCTTGTCAAAAAAACACAAAAATTAAAAATGAATAAACTAAAATAAAAAATAGCACCTGCCATTCATTAAGTATACCCTGTGCCAGGCATGCTATTACCTATTTTACATACATTATCTTACTTAATTCTTAGAACCCTGAGGTAGGTCCTGTTGTTATTCCCATTTCATAGATAGGAGCGCTCAAGCACAGAGAAGTTAAGTAACTTGCCCAAGGTCACAGAAGCTAAAATTCAAACACCCAGCAGCCTGACTTGAGAGCCAGGCTCTCATCCGTGATGCAACTAAATGGGTCATACCTTGTTAATCAAAGTTCTTGGAGTTCAGTTATCATCTCACTCTCGAAAACTGCAGAACTTTCCTGTACATAATTGAGTATAATCTATTTTGAAACGATATGCATACATGCACACTCCTAGTCTCCATGTAAACGACATCAATTGTACAAGAATCCTTAAAAATTCTAAATTAGAAGTCTAATAAAAATATGTCACATGTAAGTATATACATGCTGTGTGTGTGTGTCTATAGAATAAGAAATGTTCCTCCAACCTATCATTACTTTAACAATCTTTCTAGGAAAGATACAAAGAAGGTACAACTAGACACTCAAAAATCAAGAAGTGGGCCATTGAGTATTTCTCAACACAGATTTTGGAATGCCAACAAGCTAACCCAACAGGTTAGAAAAAACTGATAACAATAAAAACAGGTTAACAGTAGGATAAATCAAATGAAATTCACTGATGATTTCTGGGAAAGAAAATAAGCAAGATTTATAATGAAAGCAGATAAACCATGGATCATTAAGAGTCACAACATCAACCCTAAAACTTAAGTCTTATTAAGAGATAACTGAAGAGACATCTAATAGCTTCCAATTGATTCTCCTGATAACAGCTAAGAGATTACTGCCTGAAAACAGACAGTACCAACAGTCTTAAGACCAATCAAAGATTTCCTTTCACATAAATATATGGAGTGCATATGAGGCTTAAAACATCAGCACTGCCCGTGATGACTCCTTCTCTGGGAAGAGAGCTTATTTCCCCTCTTTAACACCTGTCAGCCACCACCACACATATCCACATACTCGTGTGTGTATCCACTGAACCAGTGATGCCACCGATTATACAGCACACCATTACCTTAGGGATCACTAAGGAAACAAAAAAGCTGCCAATTAAACTATGATATATCATCCATTGTAAGATACAGACAGATATTAGAGATGTACAAATACAAAGCATGGGGATGTCAGAATCAATGAAAATGTATAAACTGTTTAACCTAGTCAGTGAACAGGTCCCTTGAAAAACAGAGAAACTAGTTTTGATTTCTAGCACCAGACAGGAAGGAGGTGAGGCACCACCTTGTCGCCTCACCCTCCTTGGTTAGCTGAGTTCCCAAATCTATTTGCAATATAGTCCAGGTGACAGAGGTCTGCAGCTGCTCTGGGATACTTCTGCGGCCTTCCTCTCTGCAGCCATTACCAAATCAGTAGCTGCCATACCCAGACTCCCCACCCCAAGCCCAAATCAAATCCACCCAAAAGTGGACTTTCCTGCTTCTACTACACTTGTCCAGACCAGTCACAAGGTAAGAAGAGTACGCATTGTGAATAGCAGCCATCATCCCTCTCTCCTTCTCCACCCTCCATTTCAGCAGGAACCATGAAACA